CCTGAAGGGGAGACAGCCAGGAGCCCAAGAGGGACAGCAGCCTCGGTGGGCCAGCCTAAGCATACAGGAAAGAGCTCTGAGACGAGAGAGCTTCACACAGGTGGCCGGGATATCCACAGGCTACCAAATTCTTGTTTTGATCTGGATAAGTTTTATTAAATCTTTCCTGAAACATCCATTTCTACCTGTTTTTATAAAGGGATGCTAGCCACACAGGGCATCCCTCTGCCTGGGTTATGGGTGCTGGGACCATCCGTGCAGCCTTCCTCTGCTGCGGCAACACTTGTCCTTCCCCTCCAGGATCTCAGGGTCGGATTGTTTTTTATTAGTTTTCTGATAATACCTAGCACTACAGAGAAATACAGACTTATTGTCAAAGTCCCAGAGCCTAAACCACCGTCATATGAATGAAGGACAGAAAAAGCAGCTTGAATCACTGAGGGGCTGGAGAGTTCAGCGTGCCTATCGCTTCATTTTCAAGGATGGCTTTTGTTATTGCAAAACATGTGTAAAGAATCATACAGCAGCTCAGTAATGCTGCCGTCACAGCAAATTCATCTTCTGCAGAAGAGAGGAAGAGAACAGCAGAGTTATATACACTTGCAACCAAATCTGCCCCTGGTTATCACTTTCGCCTCAGCCAGAGCTGACATTCTGCCTGCTAAGAATATTACCAGAACAACGACAAGGAGAATATCACTGTTGAGCAGCCTATTTCCAGCCAGCTTCACAGGAAAGGCACTTCATAAACAACATGATGGGGCTTGGACAGAAATACAAATATCCTGAACTTTCCACTGACACCAGTTGTAAGATTACAATTCTTAAGTACCAGCTCGCTGACACAGGTCATCCCCTTCCCACTGAGGCTGGAGCCCCTTGGCTGCTGCCTGCCTGCAATGCCATCAGCGTAACCACTTCCAGCCAAGGGGATACGGCAACATCGTCCTAACCCAGACCAGAATTCACATCAACAGTAACAGAATTTGCAGCTTAGCCAGCTAATATACTAATTATTTTACGCTAAGCTTCCAATTCTTCATTGTTAGATCAAAAGGTCCTCAAAGAGTAAGATAGCGGCATTTCTGCCTGTTCAGGAAAGAGCTGGGAAGCACACAGCACAATTCTGCAGGCACTAAGTGCTACACAACCTTTGCGTTAGCCGCTAAAACTTGTGATACCAAAATACTTTTGATAATCACTAGAAAAAGCGGACTACTTTTAAATTTATCATAGAATCATGGAATGACCTAGGTTGGAAGAGACCTTAGAGATCATTTAATCCAACCCCCTGCCATGGGGCAGAGACACCTCTCAACTAGCCCAGGTTACTCAAGGATCATCCAAACTGGCCTTGAACACCTCAAGGGAGGGGACAGCCACAGCTTCTCCAGGCAACCTGTTCCAGAGTCTTGCCACCCTCGTACTGAAGAATTTTTTCCTAAGATCCAATCTAAATCTATTCTCCTTTAACTTAAATTCATTTCCCCTTGTCCTCTCAGTAGACACTCTTGTAAGAAGTCCCTCTCCAGCCTTCCTGTAGGTTCTCTTCAGGTATTGCAAGGCAGGTATAAGTTCTCTTTAAGGACATAAAAAATAAAATACAACCGATCAAAAAACAAATCCAAACCCCCTTCTGTTCTTTCTGCACACATCAAAGTTAAATGAATACTGTCCCTGTGCAGTGAAGCCCAAACAATTCATCCGACTGAGCCAGGACGGAGAGATATAACTGTTTTACCTTATCTGTGCCCATTCTGTAGCCAGGATAGAACAAAGAGGCTGCAACAAGTTAATTCAGCATTATTCACAAACTGCATAGGTATTATGGTAAACTCCAAATTTCAGAGAGATTATTGCGAGGAGCAGATGTGCTCCAAGGGAAGCGGGTTGAGCCTTGGGTTTTAAGCAAAGCGATGGGCAATACTCTGCAGACAAACACCTCCCTCATTCTGGGGAGATTTTCTCTCGGTGTTCGAGAGTGTACATGGAGATTTGTGTTTATACCATTAAGCATTCAGAAGAGAAAAACCACTCTCTGTACCCCGGTGACAGTCTCTGCATGTTTCCTAAAGGAGTATTTTAATAAAAAGGTTAGGTCTTATCACATGGTGTACAATTCTGCAGTGGTTAAATACATGTTCTTAAATAGGCAAGGAAATAAAAGTGCCACCTCCTCTTAGTCCTCTTTGAAGGACATTATAATGACATTATAATGACAAGGCATCTCACCAGTCTCCTGTTATAAAATTACGGTTTACATACAGAATCTGTTGATTCATTTACAATTATCTCTTTAAAACCTGGATTTAACCAGCCAGATTAAACCACTTGTTTACTGTATAAAATCTCAGTGGAATTTCACCTGAGGACAGAGGGCTGGACTCTTTGGACTCTCTCTGCTTTAATTTGTATGCATTTTATAGTACTAATTTCAACAACACTGGAGTGAAGATAAGCCAGTCAGATGCTTGTAAGAAATTAGTTACCCAAACTTTGTAATTCATACACTTGTAACTGTTGTTTAATCACTGAGAATGACAGTTTCTGTTGAAGAACAAAGCAAGTGAAAGAAAAGCAAGTCAAAAGATGGAACACTGCAGTAGCATTTGAGAAAATCTAGTAGAAGTTACCAAAAACTAAGTATATTATCTTAATTTAGCAAAAGACTCAAGAAATCATTATACAAATTCATTTATGATTACATTCTACTTGTCTTTAATTTTCACTGTTCAACATTAACATTAAACATTGTAAATGTATGCAATATTTATATAAAATTAAATAACAATATTGGAAAAATAAATACACTTTTACATAAATACATAAATCCATACTGCTGAAAAGTTTCAGCTAATACTATACTCTTGTTTCAAAAGTGACCAAAAAATATGGTAGTGACACTCCATCCCAACGGATGAAGTATGTACAGCTACAGAATGATGTTTGCAACCGATGACAGAGCTAAAGCAAATCCAGGTGATACCACACTAAAGAAAAAAAAAATTTGGATGTTACTACCTACAGTAGTAGCACGAGGTAGACATACACGTGGAATATTCTGCAGGAGGGACACGAAGCCCTGTTGGCCCCATAAATACAATCCAGTCTTCGAACAGCTCTGGGGTCCCCTATGTCAAAGGGCTAAAGGACACCTTGGTAATAAGACTGGAAAAAAATCAAGTCACTTCATGGCAACGACTCGGGGCAGGGGGCTGGCAGGAGGTGCCACGGGCAGGGTAAGATGTCCCTGCCCTCTGTTTGCCAGCCCGCTCCCAGGAGACCGAGCACAGACAAGCCATCAAGGTTGGCACAACTCAGTAGAGTCAAGGGAATGTTTCCTGGGTGAAAAAACAAAACAGCACAAAACCAGCCCAAAAAAACAAAACGCAGGACTGCATCCTGCTTTTGCAATGCAGAGGAGCCTCGGAGCCTGCTCCTCCCCAGCTGTGAAGAGGCTGAACGCTGAGCGACACCAAAATGCAACACAACTCTGTCCACACCTTTGGTTCTTGCAAATGGTCCACCAGCACCGGTAACAAAGGTTGGCAGCAATTCCCAGCCGGTAACTCTGCGGGGAAGCCACCGCACGCGTGGCTAGCTCTGCTTAGCTCACCTTGCTCATTTTTAGCACCAACTATATCAGCGTAACAGTGATACATTAGCACCTCCAATGGAATATTTCATATCACGGTCCCTTGTACTGGTGAAGCACCGTATAAACACCAGTTCAGCAGTTTTATGGCTATTGCATAACTCACTGAGGTATGATAAAAGCATCGAAGAGCATTACTGAAGGCATCCACGTTACTGAAAGCACCCACAGGAGCGAGAGCGCGGTTATGTTTTAGCAGGACGACTTTTCAAACTGTGACAATTAAGGAAGTCCAATACATTACAAACAGGCCTCTTTTTAGCTTTTCCTATAAAGTGCTTTTGAGTCAGATTAATATTTTTTTTTAAAAAAAATCTTCTTCAAATGCTTTTATGACAAAATACACAATAAAGGTTGACATTTGTTTGAAGGCCACTCCAAAACGAGCAGGTCCGTGGTTTCCAGTGTGCCCGAGGCAGCACCTGCCCTTCGCTCACCGGGGCTCTGAGCCGAGCAGAAGGTGCTGCTCTGGGCAGGGAGAATTTCAAAGCTGTGGGACCCAAAATAGCATCCCGGCCCTGTGGTTCAGGGCTGCTCTGACCTCACAAGAGCATCTCTGTAGCAGACTCCTCCAGCGGCAAAGGAGCAGTGTGAGATAACTCTGCTCCAAATGCTATTTTGTTATTAGAAAACTCCCAGGGTTTGAAGCCTTGCTGATCCCTTGCTGCCCTAAGAGCAGCAGCTGGAGACCAGGCCAGACAATAACCCTCAAGAACCAGAGAGATGCACGAGAACAGCCGACAGGTGCCTTTGCACAGTACATCACACACTGTTAACATATACACAGCAACAGAAACGCAGCACGAGTGTGAATGCACATGTGTTTCTACCGAGCTGAGGGGGGCAGGTAGGGGCAGGCACAAACATCTATACACACCTGTACATGCCTGGGAGTGGATGCAATTTAGCACACATTTTTCCCCTGTCATTTTGCTTTTGACAGAGAACACACCACTGGTAAACCAGTAGGTTCACAGTGCAGCATTACCATTAAATACCAGAACAATTTAACTTCAATGGAAATGCACTGTTTAAATGCTAGGCTTAAATCCATATGCAAAGAACTCAGTCAGAACCAAGACTCATAATGCACAGCGCTCACAGAGTGTAATAAAACAGACAACGGTGGCTACTTAGCAGAAAGTGCCTTTTAAATTAAAGGATTCGAGCACCCCTAATGTAAGCCCTTCCTGAACAGGTGTTATTCTGAATATATTGTCAATAATCCTTTTTAAGTGCAGTTTTAAGACACGAAGCATTAGCACCTTGGTTTGAAGCAAATTAAATCTGCTGTTACAGGATATCCACAAAACAGTTCACAAACAGAAAGAGTTTATGGTCGTACCGAGCTCCAAGGACCAGCGCTCCAGGCAGCATCTCTAGGACAGTCCTGCACATTGCACTGCTCTCTGTCCGGCGGCTTGTCAAGGATTTCACAGCTCAGATCCGTAAACCTTTCTCCATTAGGGCGCTGGCACACCACCAGCCGTGTCCTTGTCCCTGCCCCGCATGGCTTCGTGCACTGGAAGTCAGCAGAGGACAGAGCAGTCACCGCCCGGGCAGCAAAAATACTGCCGACCAGAGACCCAACACTTGTTTCTCTTCCCAACCAACCCACTCTGGTCAAATCCCCCTTTTAAATGCTGCATCAGCCTCTGATGGGGCATTGGCTGCTTCAGCTTCTCTCTTCCCAAAGCTGCTCACGCTGCTCCACAATGCTACCGCCAGACCCAACGTACTAGGGAGGTTAACACCTCTAATTGTTTGTCTCAGATGAATTTTCAGACGAGAACGGTGTTTTTATTACAGGGAAAAAAACCCCAAACCTTCAGTTAAATGAGACTTATCTTAAAAAGAAAAAAAAAATCCCAATTTTTGTACAATTTGCTTTTGCCTGGGAAGAACATTTTCCCATGACAAATGGAAGGCAAAACACCAAGCAGTTGCTAGGGTTCACTCATTTATCAGAGGCTGCCTTTCATGCTCCAAACTTTATAATAAACGTCACCGCAATTATCTCCCTCTTCTCCCATTTTTCAGCCACCTGCTAATGAAAGCCTTCCCCTGCGCAGGGAGCCCAGGATGGATGGTGCACTCACCTCTCCCCAGTTGCCATAAACCCACTGAGGACAGGGGCCAGATTCGCACGATCTCTGCTCCATGGGTTTGCTTTTCTCATCGCAGTTATTTGCGGTGTATCCGTTTTCATCCTGGCACACCACGACCCGCCGCTGGAACCCCCCTGCACACGTGCTAGAGCACTGGAAGACACAATTGCCCACGACTTCGTTGAGTCCAGGAATAATTTTGCATTCCCAGCTCCTTCCCAGTGCCTTGCACCGTGGGAATGCACCACTAGACATTTAATGCAGCTAACAGGCGTTATTAACTTCAAAACCCAGCTCTTACTAAGAGCCGTGCAATGACTTAGGTGCTGACTAAGCAAAGAAAAAAAACACGAGCCTAGTTTTAAGTAGGTGAGTAATCCCCGCTGTCTTTAATGCAGTGTTTGACATCCCATTTGCGCTTAATTCCCTTTAGGGACTTCTGTGATGAAGCGCTGCAAACTGGTTGGGGCGAGAGGAGCTGGCATCAAGGCTCTACTGTGCTTTGGCAACAGCTCCGCACAGCTGTAAACGTCCCGGGAGACGGCCAAGAAGCAGAGGTTGGCCTTTACCTCATGGAAAATGATGCTGTCAGCTTTCCGCCTAGAGAGCCTTGGAGATACGAGGTGTGAGAGGCCGAGAAGCGATGCTTGAGCACCGTTTGTGTGAGCAGAGAGCATGCAGCAGGGAGAAGGATCCCTCTTTTCCCTGTGTGGTGACTTTAAGAAAAGCCTGCGCTAGCCCAGGGGAAAAAAAAAAACCAAAAAGTAAACCCCGGCAATAAGAAAATCAGGGCACTTACAGCACCCCAAGGACCGATCCTCCACTGATTGCCTCCCGGTACATGTGCACGGTTTCGGTTTGAGCTGCCTCCGGGGTGCAGTTTCAGGCGATGATCCGGATAGAGGAAAGGGTGGACAGGCCTGCCGTAGTCATGGCTGTTTGGATGACAAGGAGACATGGAGCAGTCTTGCTCAGTGGCAGGGAGGTCATCTGGATCGCACTCGCTCCTATCCACCAGCTGGTCACTGTAATTGATGCAGATCACTTGTCGCGTTGCCTTACCTTGACCACAAGTCACCGAGCACTGCGTTACAGTGGGAAAAGAGGACACAGTCACGTTTCCAGCTTCGAAAAATCAGACAGACAGCTATTGCTAATAACGAACAGCAGAAAATCTTCATCTCCCCACTTATAAATGGGCAAGCATGACAGATTAATGAAACACATTTCCAGCATCGAGATCTACAAGGCTTCTCCTGCAGTGATGCTTACAGAGCTCCACTCCAAGGCCTTCCACTGCCCGCATGGCGTCACGGTGCAAATTTCTGTGGCTGACGGCTTCGGGAGGTGGAAACAAGCTGACTCGTCGGCCACTGAGCCCTGGTCATCCCGACAGCTGACGTATCTCATTCGGGTACCCTTCCCGCATGTTGCGGAGCACTAGGGAAGAGCAACAAGCACTCCACTAGAAAGTTTCCCGATATAGATTACACGGGCTTTGGAATGAAAAGTTGGTCAAATGCACTTAAAAATATCACACTGTCTACTGTAAAACAATCGTGAAAGTATTATGACACACACTTACCGGTGTCCAGGATCCAAATCTCCACTGCGTCCTGTGAATGCCTGATACGGATCTCTTGGCTTCAGGACTATTTGGATGGGGAGGACATGCTGCTATTTCACAGTCCTGTATATAAAATACATGAGGGAAAGGAGGGAAATAAAGAATCTGCAGATGTTTCAGTTAAACCTGAATGTTTCAGTTAAATGTTTCAATGTAATTATGAACAACATATAGCCTCTGGGGAATCTGTGACCTTCGTGCTTGTGTGCTGGCAAGCTTTCTCCTGGCGTCCCCTTGGCAAATCAGCAAAACTCAGTATCAATGCCTCGAGGGCTTCACATGCAGAAACTTTAGTGGACTTTTGACTTACTAGGAACTCTGCAATGGGGATCCCCATAACCATGTGCCATCTCCATGCATTAAAACCAGATGGTTTTGGGGCAAAAGATAAAAGTTCATTAAGAGAGTTCTGGTAGGAACGCACATTTGCAAAGTGGCAACTGTATCTCCCTTCAGAGCTCCCTTCCTTCAGTGCAAGACCTGCAGCCCACTCAAAAATGTTATGGTGCTGAGCTGAGTGCAGCCTTTTGACTCCTTGCAGCCTACCAGACCACCTAATATCCACTTGTGCTGGTTTTGGGGACAGGCATGTCATTCTGCTCAGCCTTGGTACAGTGCCTAGCAGAAGGGCTCTGGTCCTGTCTGGACCTCCTGGGATGTCTGGCAACAGAAATGATGAATAGCCACGATTTTACTCCATGAGCCTAAGAGTAGTCATTGCCAGAAAGGAAATTAATACTGATTGTCACCGCAAGGGAGAGAAAAGCTCTTGGCAAATGGCATAAATGACTTCCGCATTGCTATGATTTTACTTACGCTAGAGACGTGCATGCCAAATGATTCCTGATGACAAGTGGGTTTGTTACTCCTTGACTATAGTGCAATTGGTCTCCATAGATGGGAAAAACAGCCCTTTCCTAAACGTTGCGGCCTCAGTTAAACCTTGTGAAGTCATGCAGGACTGAACCTGGGCAGGGCTTTAGCACTACAACCCTCCTAGATGACAGACAGATGGTAATGTTCTGTTTTATTGAACTCCTTCAGACACCCTGGACACATGTTCTGCTTCAAATGGGAATTTACATGTTTGCTTCCAAGCACCAGTGAAAAAACACGGCATGGAAAGCCTCTTCAGCAAATTTGCAAAGGGTATGCAATATTTCTCAACATATCTGGCCAAGGAAGATGAGTCTGGAATTGCAGCTGGCACATACACCACGTTGTTACGTGCAGCAGACAAGATACGATGGCTCCTAGTCATCATTTGTACCACACAGCAACAGTCCTGCAGCCAAGAGAGCCCAGGCTGCAGCCAGGCAGCCCAGACCCCACGCCAGCCAAATGAGGTATCTGCTGTGTCGAGATCCCAGCCTCCAAGAGTATTAAGTACTGTCCCATTTTACCCTGCTGGTCGTCCTCTCATATTCATCTACCGCAGCTTCTTTAGCTCAGAATCTGGGCGGCCTCTCGCACATCCCATCCTGTGACTAGACTACATGGATATAAACCATAAGCAAAGGCAAACTTCATCCCACAAAGTCTTGATGCCCTCGTAACAAGCTGTCTGTTGCATTTTGGTGATCTGGTGCTTCAGAGTGCAGTGGTAACCACGTGGAGAGGCACTGGATGGGAATTCCCTCAGCACAGCTTCTCTTTATCACTTCTCCCAAAACCTGGGTGCTGTGCTGCACCTTTCCAAAAGCTGCAGAGCAGACCAAGATACAACTCTGTACGGGCTGAGCCTTTGCTGCAGTGAGACATCCCCTGAAGCTGCAGTCTGGATGCACACGCTGGCAAGAGGTGGAGACAGGACAGCAGCGTTTACCTGGGTATCAGTCGGCCTGGTTGCAGCATTACACTCGTTATCGTCCACCACCGACATGTAGGTGCCCACGACACACTTCACCGCTCTCATCTGGTAGCCCTGGCCACAGGTCACTGTGCACTGGGAGAGGACAAAAGGGAGAAAGAAGCACTGGGTCTGAGTAGCTGCTTTGGTTAGCAAGTATTAATCAGCCCAGCCTGTGTTTGGGCACGTAGCATGAGCAGCAGAAATAAAACCCAGCTTCCCTTCTGGTTTCTCTCCACTTCAGCTTTAAATTAGGTCAAATTTTTAACTCGCTGTGCCCACTCCAGCCTCGCACGCTTCGCTGGTTTCCTCGGGAACGAAGGTGTGAGCGTTTAAATGATTTACTTTGCTGCATACATAAATCATGGTCTGGTAGAACCTGCATCATATCCTTCTTTAAAACTGGTTAGTTCAGCCCCGTGGTAGCAGAAGTGGGTAATGAATAATCTTGCTGATGGGAAATAAGTCTGACTGGGACAACTGGTCTGGGTTTGCTGCTGTTTTCTTAAGTCAAGAGCTAACAGCTTTGTGGAAAAGGAGATGCCAGAACACTCTGGGAGAAATAAGCAACTCGTATTTTAACAGGAAAAAAATCCTCATCAACCCAGAAACTGGAAAACATTAGAAGTAACAAAAAGTTATTTACTGGGATCAGCTTTTCTGTGAAAATTAGGCCATGTATTTACGTGCCTAAATATGGATTTAGTAGCGTAACCTTGGAAACCCTTTTCTGAAAATCACAGCCAATTTGGTATGACACAGATTAAATTTAGCACAAAGGGCAGGTACTGTTATTGTTGCCCATCCACTGAACCCAAGCAAACTGAGGGCTGCTTTGCTGTGCAAATCAATTAACACAGCTATGTCGCTGAATTTGGAAGAAAGGATAGCACCCAGCCTTGGCCACCGGCACCCAGATCCCACCGGCCAGGAGCACCATGGTACCTGGCCCCAGGGTCCCACTTGCCACGAAGCAACACGTCTGCACTGACTCCGGCTTCGTTTCGGGATTGCAAAACCGGTCGTTTAATCGATCTTCTCCAAACTGGCACCACGTCTGGCGATGTTTGTGCCCCTTCCCACAGGTGACCAAACACTGCGAAGAGTAAAGGGCAAACTTGGGTAGTGCTGAGGATGTGCTGCCAGCTCAGCACTTGCCCCGGTGCTGAAAACAAACCTGGAGTCCCGCTGCAACCGCTGCTGAGAGGTGGCTCGTTAGCTAACGACTGCGTGTGCTGGAAAACACGTGAGTGTCTTGCAACAAATTGGTCCAGAGCAGAAGCTGGAGCATGGAGAGCCCAGCTGGGCTAGGACCCTCCAGCATAGGCAAAGCAAGCCCATGAACGCTCCTGACTTCCAGCAGCTGGGAGCTGCAGGGCAAAGCCACAGCACTGCCCGGCTGTGCTTCTGCACTGGGTGCCAGGGCGTTGTAGAAAACTTGCTCGGCCTGAGTGTGTGCAATAACGATCTTGGCTCCTGCGAGCACCTCTTCCACTGCCCCAGCACGGCTTGGGCGGCCAGAAGCTCAGTCCAGAACATTTCCCAAAGAACAATCCCTCTTCCCACTTAATTGCCTTCATCATTTCCTAAAGAATGTGATTCACAGAAACTAGAGCCATTTGGCCACGAAGGTGGGCAAGCACCTTCCAAAGACTGTTCTCCAGCATCTCCAGTCCTGCTGCAGGGAAAAGCCTATCAAGATACCACCAGCCCCTCAGTGTAAAGGACCAGCAGGGCGAGCCCACCCTGGTGGCCAGCACCTACCTCGGACCAGTCGCCAGTTTTCCACTGGGGACACAAGAAGTCACTGCATCGCTGCACTGTCAGCTTCTCCTGCTGACTGCACTTGCTGTTGTCCAGGACGTCGTTGTAGGTGCTCACACACATGGCTTGCCGCCGCCGCGTGCCCCCGCCGCAGCTCTTGGAGCACTGGGAAAGAGACACACTGAGTAAATACTTTCTGTCACTCTATTATGAGCCAAGAGCTCATTTATTGCCTTCTCCCTCTTTGCAGTCAGGACTATGAAGAGACTGCAGAAAACCTCCAGAAGAACAATTTATACTTTGAATAAAAGGCTGTTAACTTTATATATTTCTTGAAAAAGCCAATCTTGCTCAGCTTAATAAAATCTCACAGCAATGAGTATCACAAATCCATTCTGGGTTATAACCCCATTATTACTTTTGGAAGTGTTGCCCTTCAGTTCTCCCAAATGGTTGTTGCTCATTCTCACCTCAGGGAAGATTAATTTTCTCTAATCAGCCAGTCCCCCTTCACTGTGCCCTCCCCAGAAAGCCCCAGACTCATAATTCTTTCAGTGCCAGGCCTGCGTTCAAAAATGTTCTTGCTCCTGAAAAAGCTAAAAAGCATAAAGGAAAGAAATTTCAGAGGTCCTCTGATGATGGTAACACGTCGTTTCCAACTCTCTTGGCAGCAGTGCTAGCTCGGATGGGAGAAGATGCCAGCAAGTCTTAGCATCATGAAGACAGACCTTGGGATGTTTAAAAGCATAAATTAATTGCAGTGAAAACCAAGGAGTACTAGGCTGATTCAGACAACAGCGTCCTCCAGAAAAAGCAACAGAAGCAGAATCACTCCGGCCAACTTCTGCGTATATCCCGTCTGCAAACTCAAGAGCCTGACGCGTCCTCGAGCAAGGAGAGGACAGCGTTGGCTGCACCACCGAGCATCCCTTACCTCGGTCCAGGCCGAGTACCGCCACCCTCCCACGTTACAGTCTCCAGTACACTTCTCCCTCGTGCTCGGCTTGGGCTGGCTGCTGCAGAAACGGTCGTCGACCTTCTCTATCTTCCCCTCGAGCCTGCTGTACTTGGAGCAGTAGATCTCCAGGGTGCGGTACCCCAGCCCGCACTGGGCCGTGCACTCGCTCTTCCTCGCAATGTGCCACCTGCGCCGGGGAGAGACACCGTCACCTGTGGGGCTCTGCAGGTAAAGTGCTCGAGGGTGTCTGGCACAAACAAGGAATATACGCTCTTGAACTGGAAGTTTTGGCTCCTTATAATACTTTGTGGCTTCCGAATATCTGAGGCAATTAACCCTGGCATTGCTCCTTGCAGAGAAGGATTTGTCACCGGATCCCTCTTACAGGCAGCAAAGCCACACTGTGACCCTGAGGGACATGCAAGGGAGCAGCAGGGGTAGTTCATGGCCAAGCAAGGAGCAGTGCTTTGAAGGCTTTCCACCCCTTGTTCCCCTGCAGAAGTGCCACCTCAACCTCTAAAAACCGAAAGCCACAGCATCAGAAAGTGCTCTGCACGGGCTTGAAAGGCACTCCGCACGGCAGGATGCCAGCAAAACAGTTTCAGCTTTCCAAAGCGCGAGCGAAGGACTTGCTCCACACACTCGAGCCCCAGAGGTGTCGGCAGGGATTAGAGGTGGTCCCTCCCAACAGACAGACTCCAACGCTTCCCGGGATGGGCAGCAGGGGCTGGTGGCCCTCAAGGATCTACGTGAGGCCACACTCCTGCTTCACATCAGCCCCAGCCATAGCTCTGGCAAGAGATGCTGGACATGAGGCCTGATCCAGGGAGATGCTGGACATCCTGGCATCAACAGGAGCTTTTTGCCCACCCACCCTGCAGAGGCAGCTCTGTAGGAGGAAGCAGCGATGTCCCCTGGGGGTCCTGCAGAGCCCCAGAGCATTGCGAACACTTAGAGGGGAGCATAGAGCCCTGCTCGGAGCCAAGAGAGCAAACTTCAGTACGGCTGAGAGAAGAATAAGATCAAGGGGATTTGGAGTCAATAGCTCCTGAATGGCAGGAGCCCTCACATCCCTGCCTGCTTTTCAAACTCCTCCATTTGCCCTTCTCAAGTTTTCAACCTGTTGCAATGGCAACAGCTGTTACCGCGACAACCTGATCTACAGCCCCTATAGAGCCCCTATACGGCCGGAGGAACCCCTCCTGAATCTGAATTGCTTCACCAGCAGCCATTTAACACCACCGTAGATAAGCTCCAGAAAGGAAAACAGATTGCTTTTTAAAGGGAAATGGGTTGTGATCATTTAGGCCATGCTCCACCAATTCCAGCTCACCCGCAGTTGTCTGGGGACAGCCCCAAACCTGCGCGACACTTAAGTCTATTCTTTACTTTAAGCAAATTATGACAAATCCTAGCCTTAGCTATTCTTTTGTTCTGAGCATATGCTTTTCCCTCTTTGCAGACTGTTTGTAGGATGATGCTGAGCATTTCTGATCCAGGCAGGTGCAAATTCAGGCACTGTATTATATTGCACAGGGAGAATTTTTTTTATAGTTAACACAAGAGGAATGTGAAAACACAGGAGAGTGCCTCTGAAAACACAGCTGGTGGATGTCAATCCCCCGCAGTTGACAAAGAGGTGATTGCTAATCCTTTTGTAGAATCTAATACAGGCTGGTGAGAATTATGATGAGAGGTGGAAGCAAAGAGAAGTAAACAATATATATACGATATAATGTAGATACTCTGCTGAGTAGAGCGCACCTTAATTCACATTCCGTGCTACAAGGCTCGGTGATGGGGTCAGGCTGAGGAATTCGATCACATCGCTGGTCCGACACCGTGAGCTGATCCGACTCTCTCGTACACACAGGTTTCCTTTTCCGTTCTCCTACACAGAAAAAAAATAAAAAGCACATTGTTTGAGTCATATAGGAAAGGAATCAAGTCAGTTTTCTTAACGTTTTTCTGCTTTTACAGTAGCAATTAAGAGACATTTAATTATTCGTTTCAACCTCCTTGAGAAACAGAGAGGGGGTTAACTCGGATGAGATGGACACAAGCAGAGCTGCAGCAGCCTACAAGGATGTGCCCCACAGGGTCAGCACTAGCAGGGGGCAAGGACTGGATGCTGGACCCCAAACCAGGCACCAATGCCTTTTGCAGCCTTAGGAAACTGCATGGAAATCTCTTCTGCACTTGAGCCTCCTCGCCTGCAAGCTGGGGTGTGAGGCTTGCCGGGCTGAGAGGGGCTGTCAGGGTGCCGTGCCCTGAAACCCAGAAGCAACAAGAGCAGTGCTGCACCTACGCAGCCCAGGGAAAGAAAAAAATCACACCCATAACGTGAGAATCTCAAGGAAATCAAGTGGAGAAGGATTTGACAACACTGCTCAGATCCCAGGTGAATCCAGGACAAAACCAAGCCTTCCCAAGAACCCACCTTGGCAGAGCTTACTGCAGGGCTGCCACGGGCCATAGGCATTCCAGTAAAACTGCTGAGGTTTGTCCTCAATGGGGATATTAAACGTGTAACGAACGTCAGGATTGTACAAATTGCCCACTGATAAAACCTGAGAGGAGAAAAAGATGAAGCAGAGTAAACCAACTGACTTCACTGCCCACAGTTTTCAGTCCAGTAATGCTGGGCAGACTTTTCCACACGCACAACATATACTTCACCTGAAGCGTTATTTCTTGCTCAATCCGATCTGTAGAATTAATCCTTTCAATAGTATTATCCGATCCGCTGTATTCGATCACAGCATTCCCAACTTTGATTTCCCTTTTAAACATACTGACGACAAAGTCTCCATTTAATATAAAGTCTCCTTGACTGTTAGATAAGGCTGCATAGGTGCAAAAAACAAGAACTAAAGACGCAGAATTAACTCATATGTACATAACAACGTGGGTCATGCGCTCTCAGTGCTCCTTTGCATTGGGATGGGAGGAAAAGCCCACTGGCACTCTCAGACATTCGGGTGCAAAGAGAGCAACGGAGCTCTTTACAGACGTTGTGCTTTCTCCTTTTGCTGCTCCAGAGTCTCAGTAAAATGCAGGCTGGACGCCTGAAGTTGTTGCTAAATAGTTCACCCATATCCCAGGGCAGAGAGACGCGCAAAAGGCACGCCAGGCCGGCTGACATACGCAGCACACACGGTCTGTAGCCCTTGTACACCACAGGAATAATCCTGCTCAAGCCCTGCGGATAGGGTGGCTTCCCTGTTGCTTCCAGGTGTGTTCTTGGGGTATATGTATGTACCCTAATTGCCCAAACGTCATTTTCCAGTAGATAATTGCAGGGAGTTTGGTCAGTATCTCCCCCCCTCCTCCCTCTCCCCTCCTGTACTTTTTATTATTCCAAATCTTAAGGTATGTGAAAACACTGATGGCTTAAATCCTAAACGCTTTATAAAAGGCACAGTTTCCTGAAAAAGCAGTCTGCTGCACAACTTCACACTAATGCGATTATGTAGCTAATTTCCTAAGTTAGTTTCCCCACCATTTCACCCATCACAGCTACATTACTACAAAGCCTCCGTACCGAAAAATCTAAACTTAACACCAAAGCACCAAAGGGAAGGTTTTTGCACCGAATGAGGAGAGATTATGAAGCAAAACGCTGCTCAATAGCAAAAAGACATAGATGGAGAAAGCCTCACTAAGCAGATGCTATACTTGACCAAATTCCACACTTTGCAGGCTTTAATGACATTAGGCAGTAGTAAAACTCATTTAAGGATTCCTTCCCATTTATTGTATCTCCTACAACAGTAAGTACACGTCTTGGACCTGATGACAACATCAAATTCCTCCTAAATTGTTAAGCAACTACAAGGTTCAGAGTACTGAGGGCCCAAGATTTCACACTCAGTGAGCTGCAAAATAAGTGGACACATGCACACTTCTCATTTGCTTCTAGTCAGGTCTAATGTGAAGAGATGCTTTCCCAGCGATATTAAAGCAACATTAAAGAAGATTTGACTTCATTGCTTCCCAAGAAGATTAACGGCCCTCCAAGAAGAGCTGAGAAGTTCTTTGGGGCTCCTTCTGGGGTGAACCAGTTTGAACAGGCACAACATGGGGTGGATTGTTTCTCTAGAAAAGAGGAATAATGAAATGTACCTCCCTTTCTTCAGGATGGAAAACAACCACACCTCAGTAAGGTTTTCTTGGTGCTGATGCGCATTCATGCTGCACCATCTCATTTCATGGCTGTGAATGGGCAGAAATGACGCAAGGCGGGCAGGGAAAGCCAGCCTTGCATGACCCCACCCGGGAATGAGGACAGGGAGGACTCGCTCAGCTTTTTGGTTGAATGAAGGGTCCAGCCACATGGAAGGCACTTCAGAGGGACAGCCAAAGCTGTCAGCATCGTTTCCCTTTGGCACAAGATGGTCTCTACTCATCTCTCAAGTGAGCTCCTTTCCTTTCAAGGGCTAGGAATCACCAGCCTAGTCCCATTTTTAACAGAGCCAATTACAGCAAGCACTTGGGCTAAGCCCCTGGAAAAACACGGGGATTTTGAGAGATGAAATGAGATGAAGTGCCCCGCTCAGAGATGTAAACGCTGGAGCACAGGGGATGCAAAAGAGGAGGAAGAGAGCTGGGAGAGCAGCCATCTCCCTGGGACAGCAAGGGGCCACAGCCTAAGCCCCTGTTCCATCAGCAGCCCAAAAAGATTCTGAGGGACCCAAACAGGACTTAACGGCAGAACTAGCCTTTGACTGGCAGATGTCATGTCAGTTGTAATGTGTGTTGCTGTTATCTCTGCTACTGAGCCCAAAAAGACCTCTCTCTGGGGCGAATTACTGATTGGCACAGTGGAGAGAGACACATGGCTGTGCTAAAAGCGCATGTGGGTGCAGCAGGCTGGTCTAACACAGCCCCACAGCCACTTTCATCTGCCCCTAGAGATGCACCCGCAGATTAGAGAAAACAGTGACTATGAATGTCCAAAAGCCAAAGGCCAGGTTATTGTTAGGTTTAAATCAAACCGATTGCTTTGGTGCAGGGTATTCCTTCAGAGTTACATACCGCTGTCAGGCAGGGACAAGAAGGGTTTAGTCTAAGCAAAATCAGAATTGTTATTCTCTGAGGAACAGAAAAGAAGTTCTCTTTGAATTTGTTTGTACACACATCTTTCAGGGTATGGCATATTTACTCTTCAGCCAAGGCACGGCGACAGCAGAGACATGCTAAGTTGTGAGGAGGAGGAGGTTCCAGCAGAACTCAGAAGCATGTTTGGTTCCCAGCTGTGCGCCTCAGCTCCCACCCTCAGCCCAGGCTCAACACTCCTTGTCAGACCCAGAGACACTCTACGGGGGTATTTCTCATAATCTGTGAACCTTCCAAACTTTGCATCACGGCGTGAACGAAACGAAGGAACAAGATAAGGCTGAATGTCTGGCAAATGCACGAAATAAATTCTTGGTGAGAAAACATCTTCCTTAAACAAATTCTTCCTCCCTAGCAGAGAGAAGCCAGTAGATATATATCACCACAACCAGACAATAAAGCAAGTTTCTGGACTCAAACAAGGACTGCAACTCACCCAGGTAGTTGTCATCCTCTGGTTTCCCTGAGTAACTGTGCTGACGCACATCAATATTAGTTGCACCAGCTGGGATGCGAACCACAACGTTATAGCCTAGAAAAGATTTAACAGAAAGTCAAGGCTATTACACAGACATTTCATTCGGTTTTTACGGGGGGAAGGGAAATGAGCAAAAATCCCTCACATTACACAAGTCAATACTTTTCATTTAGGGATAGCGTAAGTAGTTATAAAATGGAATATGCTATAGCTAGAAGGATTTTGCATTTTACATCAGTGTTTTTGTAGATTAAGTATGGTAATGGCTTTTATAGATGCACATTTTTCACTATAAAGTTTTTAGCAACAGATTCTTACCATAATGCACCGTATTAAACGTGCCTGCAACAGTTTTGCATGAAGAATTATCCCCACCACAAACACCACATTTATCTCTCCTTGCTTTTGAATTCAGCACATGATCGCATCCAGCTTGCTTTGAGACAAAAATGGAAAAAAATAGATTGAGCAAATACAGGCTAGAACAGCATTTACAAACCTCCCAATTAAGGCTCACGAAAGCTACGCATGCAAAAGGCTGTCGTGAGAGAAATTGGTTTGCTTCCTCATATATTTCTGCTGATTTACAGCGTGGCCACCCCACACAAAAAGCAAAAATCAGAACTGCTGCTTGCACAGGGTGACGCCTTCGCTAGAGAAAAACTCTTGCACCAGTTGTTCCCATAGAGAAAAGTGTGAAAAATAATTGTGAATGGAAACATCAAGTGCCGTGAGGTCTGACTGGGAAGAACTGAGGCAGAGCACAGAAGAAAGCAATCGTTTGGATTCAAGCTCGGGCCTCCAAAGCCCTCAGTAACTCAGGGCAGATGTACAGACATGCTCCACACTTGGCTCTGCTGCAGACCTGGAGGTTGGCACAAGCTTCAGACCAGAGCCTGAGGATGCTGCCCTGGGGCAGAAAGGTCACACCAACAGCCAGGTCGAGCAAGAACAAAACTGCAATCGCCCTCGCTAAAGAAAATGGAAAAATATCTACCCGGCAGAGACCCTGCACGCAGATGTCATTGGTGTCGGGGCCGCAGGGCGTCCCGTCGATGACGCGATCCCGCAGCTGGTAATACGCCGTGTTCCCCGCCACTCGGCAGAACAACTTGCACCGATCCTTCATCAGGACTGGGGACGGGAGGGAGGAAAACCACGTTATCCGAATGCCATCACCCTGATGCGGCGACGCGGGAGAGGCAGTATGTGCATCGCCCGCCCCTCTCTGCCACTTACTGCCGCTGTATTTGGGGACCCAGCGCACGTTGGTGGGCAGCCCGTTGATGTTGAAGTGTTTGCCATCGAAGTCGGCGCACTGCTCATCCCGGAAATCCTTCTTCAGCTTTGAGCACGGCTCGGTGTTGCAGGATTTAAACTTCATGCGACGACCCACGCAGTACTTCCCACCATTTTTAGGCCTGCAGAAACAAGAAAGAGAAGCCTGCTGGGGTCGGGCTGGAAATGAGATGCAACTGCAATTCTGCAACCTGTTCATCATAGTCAGTATTTACAACACCATTTTCATGTCTGTGTCTATGCATGTCTTTTAATTAACACCCCTGGCTGACAAGCAGGAAAGGTTATACATGTATCTATTAAAAAGATCAAAAAAGGGAATATTTGCTCTCTGATGAACGCACAGGTAGTGAGAGAAGCCAGAGAGGAAAAGCAACATCTTCCTCCCCATCTGAGGATTTAGGTTCCACGGAGAGAACCCATATGGATTTGGTGGCTAAGAGTTGGCATCTGATCTAGTGGGTTGCAAACAACGAAGCATCATGGCAGAAAGGAGAAGAGGCTTCCCTGAGGAGGCTGAAAGGCCAGGCAGCACTGAGTCCTTCAGGATTTCTGGCCTGAAATGGCAGAAATGGTAATGCTAGACACCTTTAAACCACTTTATGTCCATGCATTCCAGAAAGCACCAAAGCCAATAAATAGTTCACCACCATTTTATAGTAGGATGACTCTGGTATAAACTGAGGATAACACCAAGCCAGTGGATAAACCTAGAAGAAATTATCATTTTGAATTTCCCGACTCGAATTCAGCGCTGTAGTCACAAAAGTATTTTTGTTCTCGTTTTAGATGGAGCCTTTGCCAGATAACAGATCACTCCAAGGACTGAAGAAGCCTCTACTACTCCAGCCACTGTCAGCAGTGGTGCAGGAGTAACCTGCACGTGGAGGGCATTGGAGGAGCCCAGCGGAAGGCACTTTTCTGGTGAGGACTCATATTCAGCTATGGTAATGCTGCAAGCAAAGTACACTTGGGATAAAAGCTATCCTGTTTACTACCTGTTCTAAGGACATTTCTTCCAGGTATTCGGATAAGACTTCATATGCCCATCTATGTGCAGCCTTCTACGTATATAATGAACTGTAATACTGAAATAAAATAGGATGTGTCTTGCTTTAAATGTTCCAAACCGAAATTCCACCATCTCTGCTGCTCTGTCCTGAAACTTCAAATGAAGTTGGGAGGGCATGGTGGAGGCTTCTACAAGCTACCACCATCAATATAATAAAAACTGTAGTACTACTCAAGCAGCTTTGCTTTTCCCTGATGCTACAGAAGGAAAGGTATCATTACAATCTGAACGAAATGTTGCCAGGGTCAACCTGGGCAAAGCTGTAATTATCCAAAAAGGAAAAATTACACCACCTAAGAGCTGCACTAAAGCTACATCTGCTACCCAACGCCTGAAGAGAAAAAAGAGCCTGTACTAGCAAAAAGTGAGATCAGAAAAGCAACTTGCTGATGTCCTGACCCACACCTCCTGCCTTTCAGGGCTTTTCTTCGGGATCAGCTCCAACTTGCCCCGGGAGCAGATGCCCATCGGTGCCCCAGGGATGCTGGCAGAGCACATCTTCCCTTTGAGCCTCCTCAGGAAGGAGGCTGGTTTGCACACTTGGGAGACCCTCTAAAACGCAAACCAATGAGTGATAAAAGGGAATCACTCCTGCCCTTAGCACCGAGATGCCCCCTGCAAACTCTCCACATTGCCCGCAGTCAGCATCTCCTAACGTAACAGACAGAAGCCCCTGGCACATAGAATCATGGAATGGCCTAGGCTGGAAGAGACCCGACAGATCATTTAATCCAACCTCCCTGTCATGGGCAGGGACGCCTCTCAACTAGCTCGGGCAACACATGGGGACATGTACAAGGGTCTTCATAAACATCAAGACAAGAAGCTCCTATAGTTGAACAGGATTTTCTAGTATCTCTTGAGGAACATGCACATCAACCACCTATGAAGCCCAGCAGTGCCTTTTCTCCCATAAACAACAATTCTTCACTCTCACATTTGAAACTATTTGTGATCTGAGCAGCAGAGTTCCTCTGAAATGAACGAGGAGACAGAGACACAGAGCAGCTTGCACTTGGCAGAAGATTTTCTGCCATCGGGGAAGGGCAGGCAGACTTCCAATCATCCCCCACCAGCACCCCACTAGGGATGCTCATGGGTTTGGCAGAAGGAGTTGCCTCCTCCAGCAGCCGCAGCTGAGATGCAGAGCACCGCCAGCTACACGTGTGGGATTTCTCCTGCCAGCATCCTCTCCCTGCTGTGATACAAGCTGCTGTGGTGCAGACCCTCAAGTCCTACCCTAAATGCCAAAGAGTATGATTTGTCCTTAGGTACAGCCCAGAGTAACAGCTGGTAACGTCAGCTCTACCTGCTCCAAGGGCAGCTCTCACATGCCATCTGGAAACTAAACGTGTGTCACTTGCAAAGGTTTCTGGTGTTTGCAATTAAGCAAGTACCAGTGATAAAATGCCCAAACAACCACACAGCACCTGGTGCAGATTCCTTTTTACAGACTGATTTCACACCAGTTCTTACTGGAACAAGTCTAAATCCAGTTACTACCAACCTAGTCTATTCTCCACCTTGGTGTGACAAACAGCTTGAATAAATTTAACTGATTACACTTGGGACTGCTCCAGAGCTGACCTAGCCCCTGCCGATGCATCCCAGACTCCTCCTGCCTCACAGGCACAACAGTGATTGCTGGGGGTTTCCCACCACTGGAGCCCTTTCTGCAATCTATTCTCATGCAGGCACCCCATCTACCTCCAGCTGCAAAGGGACATCTTGACCATCTCTTTACTCAGCACATGGGGAAACTTCTGAGCTGTGGCAGCAGCACACTCCAGACCTTCATGAGCCCGAATCATTCATGGAGGAGTTAACAGGGTTCATCGTTTTCATGTTGAAAGCATTTATACACTGCAGGACTGCTGCAATTTCACAAAGGCTCTAAATTACACAAATCTCTAAACAGGAAACGTATTTTAAAAATTTGCAATCACACCGTTTTTACGGTAACTGCATAGCTTCCAATATAAATCAAGTTAATTAAAATGAAACCTTTGAATATTAAGTTGGGCTCCTGCATGATGTTCTTCACTTTTTTTTTTAAGGGCATGTCTAACAAAATCCAAAAATCCTAACCTGCTGTATAGTTTCCTTTTCTCTAGACATGACCCATGAGATTGAGATAACACTGAACACACAGACACAGCACAAACTGAAGGAGGCTAAAACTTGCCACCACGTTGCAAACCATCAGCTTTGTAACCGTGGCAGTAAATCTTCCCACAGCTAGAGTTTGGGACTGAAGAACACTCACCCTTCTGACATTTCAAAACAGCCCCAAACCACCCTGACAGTTTTAGGGTGTTTCAAAACTGCTTTTCACAGAGTCAGAGTAAACAGAAAGAGCTGACCCTAAGAAATAAGTCACCCTCATAAAACATCGATTTTCAGCGTCACAAAGAAATATGGGATACTTCCCACTATGTAATATTTTTATGGATAATCATCAATAACGTACAACAGAGACGGGATTTCCCTTCTGCCTGAATCACCAATTCGATCGACTAACAGCCAGTGTGTGGACCTGCTTTCAATCTAGGATTGCTCCCCTCACAAGTTCCTGTGCTCACGCCGGCTTCTCCGCATTCCTCCCAGCACACCAGAGATTCTCAGGACCCAGCAGACAGGCCTGGGGAACCATAGGGTCTTATCCCCGCTCCCACCCCAAAAGGTCTCAAATATGCAATGCTTAACGCATCATCTGCCATCGCTAACCTTGAGCGTTTTCACTTGCAGACCCTGATGCTGCGCCCAGCTCTCAGTGGCCGAGGAGCACTGGGTAGAGGCACCTCCTCAAGAAATGCTGTTTTGGGGGTGCTTTGCGTGTGCTCAGCTCCACGGGCGACAGCTTTGCCCAGGGGCACCCAGGCTGCCACAGCAGCAGGCCCCTGGAGAATTAACTGTGGGGCACATCTGGGCATCTGCACGTCTGCCTTCGTGCCTGGGCTCATTGCAGGGACTGTGGAACAATCTAGCGTGCACAGATGGGTTTGAGGTCTCCTCTGCAGCATCCCAGGAAGCCGCGGGACTGGGAACTGGTACGTGTGCTGCCAATGGCCAGCACAGTTATCTATAGATGTGTTTATATGATGAGCTCAGACAGCTTTCAGCACAGGTGGATACTTTCGTGATGGACTAAAATGTAGACGTGATCCAACTCACACCCAGAGATAACTCTCCCCCATCCAGAAGAGGCCATTCCCAAAAACAGGGCTCCTGGTATTGCCATCTTATGAAATATGCCTTTACCTCATAATTCCTCAGCTATGCCTTGCTTTGAAAATCAGTGCTTGCTCCACAGACCTTCTATGTGACGTGCCACAGCCATGGGCTGTGTCTGTACCAGTCAGCCTGGAATTCCCAAGCGGGCAGTCTCGGTGGGAAGAGTCTGGTCTGGTCAGCTAACACATTCCTTCAGTGTACGTCAAAACAGAGCCTGCTGCCATCTCAGAGGCTTACAGCTCTTCCTACAGTCCTGCAAGATACTCGTCCACATAGGTGTCGGAGCACATTACAAACAGAGGCGGGAGCTGCAGTCTTATTTTCTGTACCGTGGTGGAGGGGGGTCTTTTTCAATGCCAGATTTAACACAACATTTTATCGGCATGCAAGATCCCACCCCAGATCCTCATGCAGAGAAAAAGCTTGGAAAAGCTAAACCATCTTTGAATATGAAATACTTACAGAAAACTGTTGGAGACCTTACTTAAAGTATCTGGGTTGGTTTTGCTGCCTTCAAAAATATACAGAGTTCCCTCTCTGTTGTAGAAATATTTCAGAAAGTGGCAGGACAGTACCCAGTAGTGGCTCGTCCACTTGCATCATCTCAGCAGCCCCATGACAACTAGGATGCACACGGCAGGAGCCCACGCTACGATGTCAAATTACAGGGACAAACCACTGGTCAGTGTAAGGCTCTGTGGACGGTGCTGGGACAGACAACTCCTTGCAGAGAGGCCAGCACCAGTTACACAGCCCTCGAAAGCCAGGCTGAAATATAACCACTATTAATGATAAGCGCAGACGACTCCACAGGCAGCTTGGTGCCGAGTGTATTTAGGTGTTTTGCAAATCTCAGACGCAGCAAAACACCTCACGGAATACCAAGATACAAAACACAAGCCATAAGAGAAGATGGAATTTAAAATCCCTTGACTAGCCTTTAGGATAATGGAGATTTTTCTATCACAGAAAGCTATCGGTCTCAACAGAAGCCTCTCCAGAAGACAGGAACACACTTCACTGGCAGCATCAAAAGATGGAAAGATGCGTGGAAAGATCCTTTATTTTTGTGTCTCCATGGCTACCGAAAGACCATATGGCACGTGCTGACTCAGCACAGCAGGAAAAGAACTCTTTTGCACTTGTGTGTCTCTCAGAATCATGTTAATTAACAGGCTGGTGTCCTACTCCCTGGGCCTCAACCCTTTCAACACTTGCCCAGCCACACTGAGCCAGTCTCTCCTGACACTTGTCCGCTGGTGACACAGGTACAAGCTCTCCCTTCTCCCATTAGCAGTGATGAGACTGTCACTGGCGCATCACCAATGGCTATTTTCTTGGCAATAAGCTGTCCAGCACCAACACCAAGAAAGTGGAACGAGCCTGCTCAACCTTTTTAAGAACCCCCCCAGTCCAACCAGCTCTACAGACCCCTCTCCTCTGTGTGCTTCAGTGCCAAATGAGAGCCCAGAAAGCATCCTGCCCACCACTTCTTGCTCTCATGGGCTGAAAGGAGGCAGTTAAACAGAAACCAGCACCGCTCGCAATTTATGGAAACAGGCTGTTTTCATACCAGTTGCTCAATCCATTACTAGTATTTCGCTGGCCAAATATTTGTCTCCTTGAAGCCCACGGCAAAATTCCCTGCCATTTCAAAGGGTGCAGAATTTTGCATTCCAGGCTGACGACAAACATTTTTGAGTGCCACTTTTTAATGGGCCACAGATTTCTGCTGAGGTTTGCCTAGTCTGCACCAGCTGAGATGTAACTGTGTAAAGGATCAGCTGCGAAAGCTGCCAAAAGCTGCAAAACCAGCCAAAGCAGGAGTAAAACGGTAGAAAACTATAGAGGTTTTTGGCCTGCAGGAACAGCTGCAAAAGCAACCAAAGCAGGGGTAAAATGGTGAAAAATGGATAAAATCCATGGCTCCTTCCATTCACTCTGCTTTCTGATCCACAGCTTTGGAGGAAGAAAAACACCTTTGGAGTTGGGCTCCAGCTGTGTCTTCCCAGAAACACAAGAGGCAATAAACCCAAGCAGATATCAGCTTCTTCCTTCTTCCTCTGCTGAAGGGACCCCTTTTTAGTGCATTTTACTCACAAACCAAACCTGTGACTGGCTCCTCCTACGTTCGCCTTGTCCCCACCAGGCAAAGCCACCCATCCCTAGGGCACACATAGGCTGGGGACATCTGGATGCGATTTCAGCCCATTTTGGCAACTCAGCCACAGCTCTTCCCCATTTACCCTCCGTGCCCTTACTCAGGTCTGTTGCACTCCCGGATCGCCGTCTTGATGCCACCACCACAGGTTCTGGAGCAGGTCCCGAAAGGGCTCCACGTACCCCATGCTCCGTCGATCACCGGCGCCTCTCGCTCCTTGGGCACGCACATCCCGAATCGGCAGTGCTACGTAGGGCAGAGAGAAGGGAAAAGGTGGGTTTACATCACATTTTCAGGAGAAGCTGATCAATCCGGATGCCAACAGCCATGCTTATTTATTTCTCCTTGCAAAAGGCAGCATAGATTTTGCAATCAAATGAAATGGAACTTGTTTTTTGCTTCGTCTGGCACCCCCATATTTTTTTACCTCTGCACCCTTAAACAGAGAAGCGAAAGCAAGGTGCTGAGTCTACTGGAGTGATTTATGGGAAGACAACTGAGGACAACAGCAACCACAGAATATTCCTTGTTTACTGGTGCCAAGCAGCACAGCAACACTCGCGGCGTTGGCTTTTCAAAAAAGTTGCTTATCTGATTTTCCTGGAGAGCAGCAGGAACTGCACCATGTCAGCAAGGAGACAGACAGGAGGGGAAAAAAAAAAAAAAAAGAAATGGGGAAAACTCAAACCTCCTCACAGCTGTACAAAGCGGGAAAGGAAACTCCCAAATCCAAAGGGCAAATAAAATAGAAAAATTAATTCCTCAACGCAAAGTGTTTTTTTTTTTCACTCAGCCATAAAGATGGGACTTGCCAAGGCCTGGCCTACACTTTTGTTTTCCAGCTATAACTCTTGTTTTCTTTTGTTTGGAAAACTGGCTTAAGTTCTCTTGGCAAGCCCTCATGCCCCATTTTTATTGTATAAAACTGTATCCCTTTGGGGTATGTTTGCTAGTTTGTCTACACAGGCTTCTGGAGAGGCGAGATGTAGGCAAGAATCACCTTCTGGTCGCACCAGAGTAGATGGAAAAGTGTCCCCAAGGCCCTCTCACTGAACAGCGCTTGCTAAAGCAGATTTAAACCCAGAGATGCACTCATCTGCTGGCAGATGCCTAAATCTTTCCAATTACAGGAAGCCCAAACATTGCTGATTGCTCACAAATTAGAAGTTACAGGCTTAAAGAAGAAAACACGTAGCGGCATCATTAAAACATTCCCTCGTAATATTTCTCGCCACCTGAGTTGTTGTTCAGGCAGGGAAACACCTGATGATCTTTATGAGAACAGGGTTGAAGTTATTGATATATTGTGTTTTTCCAGTCCTCTAACAGCGGAACATGGTTGTGTCCAAACACACCAAGAGCTCAGTTTCCTTTTTTAGACATCCTTATGAACCCCCTTAGAGAAAGCTCTCTAGGAAAGCATAGCAAACTCAAGCTATCAGGGGGGTTGTGCATCCAGCCCCCAGGACACTGGCTCGGCAGCAAGTTAACACCCTTTGCCCGTGATGGCCAGTCTGTCACGCTGCTTTGCTGATGAAGAAAGCTGATGTCGGGTGCATTTGGCTACGGGCATGGTTTGCAGGACGGCAGAACTCATAGCCTGGGCTCTAAATGTGGTGCTTGCTCAGAGACGTGCATAGTCTCCAGGCTGCAACATGCCCTCGATTTGCTTTCGTCCGAGGTTTTGATTCCCCAGATAGAAACTGGCTGGAAAATATCTGCTACAGTAAAGGACGGGAATAAAACAAGTTGAAATGCCTGCTTTTTTTTTTTTTTCTGCAGGACAAACCTTTACAACGCACAACCCCCCCGACATTTAGAGGGTTGAAAAACTACGGGATGGGGACCCCTAATGCCAGTCCTGTACAGGAACAAAGAGGTCTGATAGCTATGATCAACAGGCAAAAAAATACACGACATCAATCGAACAGTGTCGTCCCAGCGGAGAACTTCATGCAGCAATGCTGCTGTTCACAGCTAAATATATAACCAGAGTCACGCTTGGCACCGCTGACCCCGGGATGGCTGAATAGCTAACTAGTCAATGTACAGAGCTAACAGACTGTGACGTGACCTATATGTCTCCCATCCTATGGTTGAGAATTAACCAGGAAACCACCTAGATCCCTTGATTTTATTAAGAACTGGGGGGTTGGAGATGATGGCAAATCAAAGGCTGGGGGGGAAGCAACTGTTTTAAATAAAGAGCAAGATTATCTTATGGAAATGCAGTTGTGTTCCTTGGAACCATCCTGTGAATAGTCTGGCTGTGCAACTTTTGTGCCTTTTCTATTTTAAAAGTAATTTCTACGTTGAGTTACAGCAGAAAAACCAAAAACGCTACCAGGGATCTCTTTGCTATGAGCTCACAGACCAGAGAACAAACATAATAAAAGAGTTTTTGTCTGGAGCAAATTCAGAATAACTTGGGACACACAGTTGAGCAAGAGAGCAATGGCAGGGATGGGAGACACTACAACAGACTTTCCTTCCCTTTGTCTTGCCTCTGGAGTCCCAGATAATTCACCAAATCCAGCTCCCATCCTTGGGCTGAGTTTGGCTGAATAGATTAGCAGGGGGCACACAAGTGCCGTGAAGCTTCATGCATAACATATACGCTACCTGCTGCCATGCGGCAGGAGAGAGAAGCGATTACTATTCGTCTACTCTCCTTTTACCATTCTTTAAACAACCCTGAAAACCACAAGAGATAGAGGCCCAAGTTTACGACACTCTTTATTTTCTTTCAGTGATTTCTTTCCACCCGATGTTTCACGCTGGTGCCGCGAAACACTTTTGCCATCATGGCTGGTGCTCACCCAGCAAGGGCCAAACTCCAGGCTGGGCTCATTACTCGGTTTACCGGTATCAGTTTCACTGTCCTCACATGCAAAATATGCATAGGCTAATACTCTCATGTTGTTTTAGCGTCCTTGATTTAAAAATAAATTTAGAGCCTAGTTAAATCTACATCCCAGCAGTTTTAGCTAGATTTTTTTTTTTTAAGCTATTCAGGCTCCCTCATTTCCAAAGATATCTCCACGAAAAAAATAGCATGGTATTTTCTCCATCTGCCAGCCCATATATTACAGGTTTTAAACATGCAGACTTAAGGCAAGGCATTAGGCAGCAAGCAGCAGTTTGATGAGGCTCCTGGCCACAGCAAAGCACCAAAAATGTGATTATTCCAACAAAAGGCACTCCAGACATGCACCCCAGCACTTCACACAAGCCCAAGTAAACACACTGAGGAAGGGAGAGTTTATAATCATCCAAACCTAAACTTTGAATTAAGACCAGCACAGAGATACAAGATTTACTCTGTAAAGGCTTTTTGTGAGAATACATTCAAATGCCTGAACACGAGTGGACTGCATTAGCTTTTCCTAAGTGCTCATCTGCTCCCAGAGGAGAAGTTCAGGTCACACTTGTCCAATTTGTCAAAATTTGTCAGACTGTCTAAATTTGTGGACTGGAATGCTTTTGCTTACACGGTCTTTATTGTTGTGCATCACTCTGGTCATGTCCAAGGGCAATGGCAGGTTTTTTTTGGAACAAAACTGCAGCCCAGGTTTGTGGAATTTCAAGAAAATAGTTATTTCTGAGCTTCCAGTCGTGTGCAGTGCCCAATCTCACCAAGGGAGAAGTTGAGGACACGAGATCTCAAATCAGAGGGACTCATCAGATGCCTAAGTTTTATTGTGAGTCTCAAAAAAAAGGGAGGATTTTACACAAAACCATTAAATATTGGTGCACCACTGGCTCCAAGGAATAGTACAAGAATAGGATTTCCAACCACATCTCTAAAGCATATTCTCAACAACAAAAACAATCGTGTTGACTGCACTTCTCCCTAAGAAACAAAGGCAAATTGATACATTATGCCCATTGCCTTGAAGGAAATCAGTCAAGTGTCATTGAACAACTAACTTTTCAGACACGTGCAACAGAAGATTAATTACCAAGGAGATCCACAGCCTATAGGAAAATTGTATCTAAAACTAGCTACTTTTATTAAAATACATTTTGAAGACCACCAAAATAAAATGTTCACTCTTTCTAAAGAAAACTTTAACTGTTGATCACTAATAGCCAGAAAATCAAATTTTTAAGCTATACCTTGTAGAATAACATCACACTTTTTCACTAGTTCCAGACAGATACAAATGACGAAAACTAGTTGACATTTTTCTTCCAAAGCTTCAGTATCTCAATAAAAGAAAAAGAAAAATCCTCTCAACTATTTTTTTCCAGATCTGGACAACTGGAAGCTAAATACTTATTCTAGAAACCACAATGCTAGCTAGAAATTAACACTGCGTATGGAAATTGAAAGTTTCTGTGAATTACTGCCAAAAATGTTCCATAAAGAAAATGTCAACCAGTTCTATATTTTACTCTGAAGTTGTCAAGATGAGAAGCCAGTTGGCAAGTTTATGTTACACAAAATTGCTAATTGCTCACGTCACACAGGAAATTTCTAATAAAAGCCTAGGGGAGCTTTGCAAAAGTTTTGCTCATGAGTTCACTCAAGGGCATTAATTTACAAAGATAATCGCTGCAGAAGGAAAACCTGCTTTAAACAACATTCTGCCAAGCAGTCGATTTTAATCACATTATCTGGGGCAGTGCTGACCCACGCACACCAGGCTTAAAACGCAGAGAGAGCTGCTTTGGGCTTCCACCCTTGCAGTCAGAAGCTGTGCCCCATACAACTGGCCATTGGGATGGGATGATTGCAACCGACACGCTTCAGCCTGAGCTCTAGGAAACAAAACACCAGGTATTGTTACAGACCTTTCCAGGCTCACATTCTGTCCCATCAGCCCAAGGAGTGTGTTGGGTACGACATCCCTTGTGTGCGCCGTCGATGTTAATACACCACAGTCGCCGACATTGCATCTGCTTAAGTTATTGCAAAGATCAAAATATTAAATAAATACATGCCAAGTACCTTATCAGACAGATGATACTTTATGAAATTACCCCTCTAAGATTTATCACTAACTCACGAATAGCGGCTTGTGAGCCTCCCATTCATCCAACCCCGGGGGGCCTTATTTTGCCCTGTCAACACCACGAAGACCAAGGTGTGGGATTTCACTTACCATATATGGGCACACTTGAGATCCGGGTCCAAAAATTAACTCACATTGTTTGTTGACATCATAAATCAGCCCCGGGAGCTGCTGAGGCAACGTGTAAGTTCTTGATGAAGGTTCATCAAGCAAACACTCCCCATAACCAGTGCTACAACAGAAAGAGAAACACGGTGTTAAAAGAAACACGGTGAGACTAGAACCCGTTGGGGTGTTTAGGTGGATTAGCCTTAGGGCAGACGCACACCGTATCTGCCCTATTTAACAAGAACTACAACAGCTACTGCAGACTCCAGCACAGGAGGGTGCATTATGCATTCACCATGCGCTGCGATAGCGACCATCCACGCAGTCAGCCACCCTGGAAAAAGCATTTCTGAGCTGCTCAACCTGCATCTAACTGCTGAGCAAACGCTGCTCCATATTTAGAAAGAAAACCATTGATTAGCAGAAGAATTGCCTGAGAAAGTGAGTTCCTGGATTTGTCAGAACACCGTCGTGGCTCTCGTGCTGTTCCTTAACCCAACACACGGGAAGGCATCACAGCAAAACGTGTGATCGCTGTGCATCAAACTGACCCGTGGGCTCCTGGAACAGTGTTCCCATCCTGCTCTAGTGCCAAGGATTTACAGTGACCTGCGGAGCAGAAAGGCAGATTCAACCTGCCTCCTAAAACATGGCTTCGTTTCTGGGCCACAGGGCTTGGAAAACTCACTCTTCAGGTCCAAGGAGAACACATGTTCCTTAAAAGCAATATCCATAGGGGAAGACTTATTCTTCCCCATAGAGAGGCCAGTCCTTGCCAGCTTATCATGAGTCTGAACTGGCAGGGATTGGATGCCTTCCTGCCCCAACGACAGGGAGAC